GATGTTAGGGAATACAAGAAAAATCTTTTCATTTAATCATGGCTGTCCTAGTTTCCGGGAACCAAGAGGGATGAAGTGGGGGGGGGGGGGGGGGTCAAAGGTCAAGAACTTTGTTAAAATTACACAATTTTCATCCCTTGGTTGCCTTTGAGTTAAGATACTACAGAAAAAAAAAAGAATTTGATAATGCGAAGGTAAATTTTTATTATTTTTTTTTTTGAACGATTTTTCGATACGTCTCTACGTATTTTATCAGGACTGGGTCAGTCGTGTATAGGGGAAAAAAGAAATACAGCAGAGATCTCGGCTGTAGTTATTTTTTTTAATAAATGTAGGGGGCTGCCAACCGCTCAGTTGGTAGCCACGCGACAAATTATTTATCGCGTGCATCAAAGCCACGTAGTATTATACCGGGTGTACTAATAAGTATTAATAACGTGTCCATGGCCATACTCGTATCACCCGAACATGATTTTATCATAAGAATCAAATGGACGCACAAATTGCAGTTGGTACGTTCCGAGTGAATCCCCCGGTACGAGTAAATATGCAGGCAAGCAAACGTAACGCAGAAAATCGAATGCATATGCGTAGAGCACATAAAAAAATAATAGTATACAATAATACACGGGTTATCGTTAATTTCAGTTCTGTTATCACTGAACTAAATCGAGTACACACAAGCAGAATAACGAGCCAAACCAAATGAGCTCTTGGCGTTGGCACGCATTTAACAATGAAAAATTAGGCTTTAACCACGCACTACCGTATACGCGTAATCCAGCCCTAAGAGAAGGATGAAATAGTATATAGTCAAAAAAAAATATTTCTTTTTTTCGAAATGCATTTGACTTTTTTTTCTTTACGGTGGAGATACGATTGACTTTTTTTGGGGGTGGATTTTCAAATTAATCTCCACACGCCCACGTACCGAGCCTTGGCGAAATTTCACCGGCACGTCTGTCTGTTCTATTTTGCGGCTTTCCCAAAATAATCTCATCCTCGAAGGCTATATATGAAATTCCTAGAGTCGATGTCTGGAGCATGTGGGTATATATCTACTTACACGGCCCTCGTTCGGCAGTACTGCTCTGGGTATAGGTACATATATGATACCTTATGTAGTAGGTAGACGTCCTATCTACTCAGACCTGAATTGGTACTCTCTTGTGTTTCAGGTGTATCCCACTACTCGAGGAACCTCGAGGAGAACGGAGACCTCGTCACGGTCGATCAGGTAATTTCCTTAGGGGGTTCATACGAGAAGCCATTGTGGCTCGGAGCGCCCTGAAATCTGAACCGTTGAAGTACACCGTAAAAGCGTGTGTACACACGTGCACTAACACACGTGCGAAACTAGTACAGAAGGATTAAGAGAAAAGAAAAAAAAAAAAAAAAAAATTGTTGGTTCTCTCGAGCGAATCTTTGTCGGTTGAGGGATGAAAATAAGGGTGGGTATGGGTGGTTAAGGGATGGTCGGAATGGTACACCGTGATCCGATTTTCTGAATTTTTTTTCGCTTCATCAATGGCGAATGCCTGTAACGTGCAGGTCTCGGGTTGCAACCCTTACAGAGTGACGTAACGACAATAGGGGTTGATCGGATTAATAGTATTGCGAATCCCGGCATCGGGTGGCTTTCGGGAATTTCGGGGTTCGAAAAGGTATTCCCTGTGCGTGGGAGTCAGGCAAAGTTTTATGGGGGGAACTCGAGGGTGCAAAAAAATTTAAGGGATGTTTTAAGGGTCCTAAATGACTTTCCACGTGGTACCTGGAACGCGTTCAGAAAGGTTTGGATTTCGGGCACGGGACACGTTCGCCCTTGGTCTGGCATTTCGTATCGTGTCCGAGGAACGATGGGAAAAAGAAAAAAGGTGAATTTTAAGGGTGGCGAGAGATAAGATCCGCTTCGTGATATCGTTAAAGAGGTAAAATTGCTAATTCCTTCCTCGCGTATTATACAGGCCGATCCATTATGGCCGAGCTGTCTCAGTCAACAGTCTGGGGAACGAAAGAGTCATAAGGGGAGGAATGTAATTCTTTCGCAAAGAATGAACGAAATTATAAGAAAGTGACGCGACGAAAAGTCCTGCACGATTTCAATTAGTCGGCAAACCTTTCTTTTTCCCGCAATCGTAAAAGTCACCCCTAAATATTTCTTTTCCAACACCCTCCATTCTCTCGACTACGTCATACAATCCAAACCCCATACTTATATTGCAATTTACATAGTTAGCTCGCTAACAAAAATCCATATTTACACAGTGCTCTTTAATTATTCATCCCTCAGAAAAGTACCCATTTATTTACTACCCTTAGCAAAGAATCCCAATTTCGCCGGTTTCCACTGTAGTAACTATGCCCCAATAGGAGACAACGTCACGTTTCAAATTAATCCAGAACCAGCCCTTGTGCTATATCCGGCAGCCCTTGAAACCACCCCTAAAACTCAAGGGTAAGAAAGCCACATACACCGTTACCAAATCACTAGCTATCTAGCAGTACAAAACTAATTCAACCTTTTCAACCCGCTTGTCAGGTGAAACTCAGAGGGGCCGAGGGGGGGGGGGTTGAGGTTTAATCGGACCCTAGGGTCCTCACCCTTGATTTTAAATGCTACTTGTAGGCCAAATTCTTAATTAACACGCGAATCGTCAGATATTAGGTCGGCTTGAGCTTTTATCTGACTTCCTTTTTTTCTTTAACAACCCCGCCTGCCCTTATCAGCTTTCTTTAAAGTAAGGGTAGGTACGTTACGTGTGTTAATCACGATCTCTGAATGCATATGACTCTACAGACTTCTGCGCATAGACCTACTATATATATTTTTTTATATAAAATATGCATTTAATTATATATGTAATAATTAGCAGCAAGTACCCAGCATCCCTGTGCATGACAAATAATAGAAGTTAAATGATCCCAGAAATTACGAATGCAAAGGCAACAGAGAGAACGGGTAGTACCATATGCTAATGAAAGAAAATTGCATAAGTGCTCGTCATGACCCCATTTTCATTGCAATTTAAAGCAAAGCTACGTGGAATAATATCACATGAAAAAAATTAACGTCCCTCAGTCTATATTAAATTTGCAAGTGCGCGAAATTTATATTGGACCTTTTTTTACGAAAATTTCAACTTTTTTTTCATGCTCTCAAGCTTTTTAATCAATGACGAATATAACTGTGGGATAACGCTGCTATGTGTAAGCTGGACTTATGTTTTTACTTGGATGCACTTTTTATGCATTTTTGCTCAAGCTGCAACGAATACTCGTTACGATGAGTTAAGAACGCAGGTTGCCCTACTCATATGTCACGGTCACTGAAAATGTGCGTGATGAGGGAATCGATCCATAAAAAGTCAGTGCCATATATGTTCTAAGAGGTAGTTAGTGTTGAGGTGAATAAATAAAAAAAATGTCAAAATGGCTGTTAAAATTTTATTTTACCAAATTTTCTCTTTGAAACTTCAATGTTGATCTGTCAAGTTGGTCCGTTAATAATTACCCAGAAAAGTAAACGAAAGTCGCTCTATTGCGAACCGACTGTTAATCCAAGAATTAGTAATTGGTTAACGGCTATAAAAATTATATTACAAAATTTTCTACCAATTCAAAAAATTCCGTAAACTTTTGCAAAAGCGAAAGCGTCGTTCCTTTTATTTTCTGTCTACGGAAAACTGAAATGGCGACCACTAATTTCCTAATGGCGTGCCGCGTCCATTGAATCGAATAAATTTTCGATTAAGGTCGATACGTGAATTAGTCAAAAAGTTTCCATGAACCGACTATACAAAGCAAGTCTGTCATATAAATACAGAAAACACATATAAAATACAAAAAGATAATTTTAGCCGTTATTACAAGTTTGTATAAAAAAAAAATTTACTCTTTAGTTCATAAACAGTCATTTTTCCCCAATAATAAATCCCCCGATTAATATGCAAATTGCGTCAGGACCTTTAATTCCTCTGTTCGCGAATTACATATAAAAATCGATGTATTGAGGTGGAAATTTGCTAAATAAATTTTGACGTATTTAAAAAATTTTTTTTTCAGAGTTTTACCTGGAATTTAGGAAGACCAATTGACGACGCCGAAACACTCCAACTGGCTGTAGTGTCGAAAGGAGTATTGCGACATGAAAAAGTTGTTGCCAAATATGGACTGGTCCTACAGACTGTCGTCAGAGATGGTAGAATTCACGTCACGGATTCTCTACTCGACCTTAACAACAGAGCACTTCCGGTATGTGCCCCATTTATGTTATTTTACTCGGAATACATAAAATTCGTTTTCGCCGTTAGTAAAGTGTCGCTCGATAAAGATTCCACGTATGGCAACATTTTCTTTTCACATATGTGATCAGTGATATTGTATATGTTACTGGTACCTATACCAAAAATATCTGTCGAATCGATAATTCCGACTCCTTTGACGATACTAAAAGATATCATACTAATGGATTGTCATATATGATACATATTAATAGAATTGATATAATAGATTAATTTAATAATAAAAAAGTGGTTTCCAGGAAATTGGAAAAATAAAAAAAATATAATACAGTGACATACGGATTTCAATAGTTCGAGTAAAGCTCAAGAAAAGCTTAGGCTGATTCAAAAATTTTTCGTTATTTGAGTTTCCTTGAGTATCTTCAGTGTCTTTCAAAAAGCTTCTCGGAAGCTTTTTAACTAAATAAGAAAGTTTAGCCTCCGCACCTCGGACGAAAAAAAAAAGATGAATAAATATGAGGTATTTTCTTTTCTTTAAGCTCGAGGCTATTTTCCTCTCTCTTTACTTTCTTCTTAAATTTCAGGGAAAGAAAGTAAGGCTAATGCTAATAAGACCACGTGGTCTCATTAGCTGCGGACCTACGACACTGTAAGAGGGTCGATAAATTTAGACTGTCGCTTTACGACTGTATATATGTTGAAACGTATTTTCTTAACTTGATACCGACAGTAAAAAAAATTCGAGAACTAACCTACGTTACCTTCGGCCGTCCACCATTCGCTTATGCATCCGTAAGCCAGGCGGACTGCTCAGGCTGCTAGGTTGAGCTAGAGAGGGTCGGAGTAAGAGCCAGGCAAATAGTGCCGGAAACAGGGAGCAATTGATCGAGAACGTAGCAGAACGAATCGGAGCTATAAAATCGAAATCCCTTCACCAATTAATAAATTGGGAATCCTCACCGGAGCTGGTGCAGCTGATCCGTGAAGGCCGAGAACTGCATCCAGGGGACACTCAGGTGGACACTGCACTATAGCACAACACTGCACCTCCGAACACACGCGGAAAACCGATAGGACCCGAACCACCGAGCAACTTCCTATACCGTATAGGAAACACAGCTAGAAAAACTATAAACAAATAACCCGGGAGCGCGAGACAGCTCGAGGCGCCTCGATCGGCGTCCCAAGGCAGACTGGTTTAAAGCAGTCAATTGACCGTAGTCAAATTAGAGAACTAATCATTCTGATTGGTCGAGATCCTTATAGCCGATAACTCTTCCATCTCCTTCGAGTCGTCCCTTTAAACCAAATCGAGAGCGTTCCTTAGCGGATCGGTACGTAACTTT